TAATCACGAAAATGCACTAGATTATCCTCCCTCTCATGTAAGTATATAAAATAAAATTATAAATGTGAAAAATTGTCACACTTAAAAATGAAATAAGAGTTGGACCCATGGACTGCCTGTTCAGGCTTATCTTATATAAAAGTTTGAATTTAAAAAAAATGATAAATTATAAAAAATTAAATTTTGAAGCTCAACCCTGCTATACCTTTAAAAAATGAATTTGTGCTTAGACGGTTTAAGCTTATTTTTATTTTATCCTTAAAAAATAAAATATTTTAAATTTTGTTGGTCTAAAATATTTTTAATTTTTAAATTGGATTTAAACTTTAGGATATGTTTATACTTTAAAATGATAATTTTTATTATTTATTTTTAACTTTTGAACATTATAATTTGCATTCTTTTTAAAAAGTGATATATTATAATTGAAAATTTTAACTTTTAAAAATTTAAAAAATAAAAAAAATAAACGAGCTTGCAGGTGATACTGAGTTTCGTAAATAATGGCCGGCATTAGAAAATGATCAATTTTGGAGGAATTGGGCTTGTCGGCCTGCCTTTCGACTCCACACCTTTAAATACCTTGTGAATCATGAACCTCAATCTTATAAACTAAATTATTTTTCTTTATAAACATGGATGACTTATTTCTTTTCTACATCTTGATCATTCTATTTTTATCTTTAAAGTAAAATATTTTAACCACCCTTTCATTTTTCCTTAATTACATAAACATTTCCTCAATTTTAAAAACATAAAATTTAGTCCAATTTGTTAACTCTGTTAAGAGTATCCTAAATAGATTCTAAAAATTTATTGTTAAATTAAAATTTATATTGAAACAAATTTTATTTACTAATTTACCTCTCAACCTAATAAATTATAATTTAAAAATTTAAAATTTAAATTATTTATATGATCTCTTAAACTTGTATCATTTGATGTTATGTGATGAGTAAAAATATATGAAATATGTTTTTAGCTATGTCAAAAAATAGATAAACAAAATTCAGTAAATTTGATAAAAATTAATGTTATAAAATTTCATAATATAATAAAAAATAAAATTTTTATAACAATAAATTTTTTTGGATAATATAGATTTTGAGATAATTCTTATGTTAAAGAGGGTCATTTTAGTGAATTTAAAAGTTAAAAAGTTAAAATTAACGGTCAATAGATAGATAGAAATGAAATTTCAAATGTCCAAGAAGAGTTTGTATAATATATACTATAATTTTTTTAAAAAATTATATGAATTTTTTTAACAAAGAAAAGAAGTGTAAGTAACTATGACATAATAGACAGGTGATTGCTATATTCCACTCTTGTCTTCATTTCTTTAACTTGTTCGTTTGTTTGATGCTCTTATCCAATAACAACCAAGCCGCCCCTAATTGTGAATTGATAAGGGACCTACGCACGCGCAAGTTGATTTTGAGTTTTTGACGTTTACATACATTGCCTCTTTCTTTTTCTTTTGTTGTTGTTGTTGTTGAGCATATTATTACTTTTACTATATCTTCTTATATATAATCACATTTTTTCTTCTTTGACACTCTTATAAGTTAAAACTTGCCCTATGAAATTAATACACATAACAAATGAATGGTCTTTAAAACAAACACAACTTAATATCAATCCATCATCTCCCCATCACACAAAATCTATAAGCATATAAGCTATACCTAGACATGCAAAAACTCAAGTCGTAGTTAAGATCCATAGAATATTACATCATCAGTTTATAATTAATTATTAATACGAATGATATCCAATCCTCTCTTATTGGCAATTCTGGCCTCATGTTGAACTTCAAAATAGTCCTTGTACTTGATTGTCTTATAAATTGGTTGTTCCTTCTCAAGTAACTCAGGTGCAGGACCAGTTTCATTCTCTAGTGAAGGACCATTACCTAGTGCAAAAGTAACCCTTGTGTGTCTTTCATTCGCCACTGCTCTGTGCCTAATACTCTTGTACCTTCCATTTGTCATACTCTAATAATATATTCCACCAAAAACACAACAAAGAAAGCCAAGCTAGGGTTAGAAGATGAGAGGTGGTTAAGTTAACTAATTATGAGTAAAATACTTTAAACCCCCTTCTATTTTACCTTAATTATAGCCTCTTTTCTATTTTTAAAACTTATACAAACCTCTCCTAGAATTAGTATTACAAAATGCATACCTTCCTCCTATTTTTAAAACTTTGCTTTCATCTATTCAAGTGTTAGTTGATTATTAAGTAACATATGTTTGACCAAAAATTCCTCTCTTTAAACATATGTTATCTAAAATCCATTCTTAAGTTACCCCAAAAAATTAATGGATATTTTTTTTACCCTTTTTAATTCATATTTTAAATTTTTTTGTTAGGAAAACTAGTTTATTTAGTTTTTTTTAAAAAAGTTGGCTAAAATAATATTTTAAACACATATCAATATAATTTATTTTTATTTTTATAATTTTAATTCACTATTTATAAATCATTTATTTAAATATTGTTGTACTTAATTATTTAAAATTCCTTAAATTTGGGAGAGTATAGACCAAGGGAAAATTAATGATTTTAATTTTTAAATATAATTATAAATAAAAATTAAGAATTTTAGTTTCTTTAACAAATACTCCTAACAATATTAAGAATTTGACTAAATGGAGGTTTTGAAAATAGAATAGAGGTTGCTATAATTTTAACAAAATGAAATAGAGGTAAGTGTAAATAATTATTGACCGATACAATGTAAAAATGTAGAAAATGGATATACTAGATTCAACATGTTTGAAAAGTTGAAATAACCTCAAGTTGATCTCCAATGTTGACAATTATGCAGTTAGGAAGAGGGTTGACATTGACCCATTTGCCATCGTGCATGACTTGAAGGCCATTTATGTCATTTTGAATGAGAAGTGTCATCAAGCCATTATCATTATGTGGAGGCAACGCTAAAACGAGGTCTGGTTGAGGACATGGAGGATACAAGTTGACTTGACAAGTCTGATAACTTGAATCATAGTCTGTGTACTCAATAATGGCATTGGGTTGTAACCTTAAACTCTCTGATACTCCTTGAAGCAAAATCCTCAACACCTCCCTGATTTTCCTACTGTACTCGAATGCAAGCTCGCTACAAAGAACAAAAACCAAGGTATTCAATGAAGAAGAGAGAGAAAAAAGAAGAAGGTGATGATGATGAAGTTCTTGAAACATACGAGAAACCAGGAGGCTTGTGAGGGAAATTGAAGTTAGGATGTGTTTCAACTTTAAGATAATCTCTCCAATAATGAACTTTCTCTCCATGAGGAAGAGCACTAGTGCCATATCTTATGGGTGTGATCAATTCTTCATTTGCAAGCTCCTTCTTCTCCTCAAAAGACAAGTTGTGAAACTCCATGGACATGTTCAGTAGATCCTTCATCAGCTTCTTCGAAATCCCATGATTTATGATCTGGAAAGTGATGTATCCAAGTACTAAATACCACTTCTAAACCTTGGGTTAAGGAAAAGGTTGAAAATTTACCATGAAGAAGCCCCATTCTTTGCAGACATTGCCGAGATCTTGAACGGTGTTCGCATGGATGTGAGGGTCGTCGGAGGTGAGGAGAGCGAAGTTAATGACAGGGATGGAAGCAGCAAGGTCGTCTTCTACAACATCTTCACGAAGCTCAGTGATAGAGTAGTAGGTGGAAGGGATTGAAATGGCATTGTTTGATTCAATGAAAGCTTTAACGCTTGAAATATGAGATGCTTGAAGCTCTTGGGGCTTTGATGAGGAAATAGTAACTACTGATGAAGCCATGTGAATAAAGGTTGAAGCTATTGTGATTAGCTAGAAATGAAAGCAAAGGGAATAATAAGTTCATATATAGATTAGATTATAGATATATATATATAGAACATTGCAGGGTTGATGAAGAAGTGAAGATTGGGGGCGAAGTGAAAAGAGAAAAGAGACAAGACAACTAATACCTTGGTTAGTAAATTAGAATTGGAGTTATGGAAAGGGAATAAGAATGATAATCTTACAACATAAAATTCTTGAATTTGTAAAATTATTTGAATTAATATTTGCAAATTATTTTTTTAAATTTTTTTTATTGAAACCTAACGACTATTAATTTAATGTTTTGAGACTTAACTATTATTCATCTTGATACATGTTGGGCAAGAAAGACTAATTATTATTCCAATTATTATCACTGTGAGAGTGTTTTGGATAGAGTATAATTTATGGGTAACATTAACAATAAGGTTTTGAATTTAGCATTAATTTTTTATAGTGAAAAAAAGATAGGTTTTAAATAAGGTTTGACTCTTGATTAGATGCATGATTGAATGTTTTAATTGTAATTTGCAAGATGTCAAAAGGGTATGTGTAAGGGAACTAGGCAATGCAGGCCTTTCTTTATTTGGGTCCTAAAAAAAGGGAATGAGCTCATAGAAATAAATGCTTGCAAGCTTCACAACCCAAATATGATAAATTAATGTTTAAATTTTTGTTAGAAGAGGTGTTCATATTTAATACCCAATAATGCCTCGAACAGGATTGCCTCTAATAAAAAAAAAGGTTCAAGCATCAAAGCCTATTCATTGAATCAAACGATACCATGTGTATAAAGACTCTGATATTCTTTAATCATATAAAGTCTGTGTAACTAGAGAAAGATGTGCATGTAATAGAAAATCTCATGTAAATTGTAATATATGTGGCGTATTGTGTCTATCTTTTTCTAGTTTTTTTTTGGTGAGGGTGTGGGATTTAATTACCATTTTCAAGAGAGATTAATTAATACCATACAGAAATGGGTTTATGAAAATAACCTGGATTAGCCTCCTAATAGTGTGTTAATTTAAACAAACATACATGTTGGAAATAAGACCAAAACCAACATTCTGAATGAGAAATCACATTAAAAGAAATGCCACTTTTAAAAGTTGAAGAGGTTGGATTAATCAATCAAACATTAATTTACTTTACAAAACTTGGTTGAAAGGTGTGATCAGTTTGCAACATTATGCAGATAAATCATATCCAAGCCTCTCTTGTCAACAATTCTAGCCTCTTGTTGAACTTGTAAATATTCCTTATAGTTGATGCTCTTGAACAATGGCTTTTCCTTCTCTAACAGCCCTATTGCAGGCCCTATTTCTTTATCAAGAGTTGGTCCATTCTTTAGTGCAAAACTTAGCCTTGAGTCTCTTTCATTCACCACTACTCTGTGCCACATGCTCCTATACCTTTTGTTACTCACAATCTAATTAATCAATTCAAAAACACATAGCAATCAAATAAGGCCATTAATTAATTAGAAGCTAGAACCATCAAAAATAGAATATGCATGGTTGAATTAAAATTTGAAGAGCGACCTCAAGTTGATCTTCAATGTTGGCAAGTAAGCAATGAGGTAGAGGATTCACATTAACCCATTTGCCATAGTGTTTCACTTGAAGGCCTTTGATTCTATTTCCAATAAGGAGGGTCAGCAAGCCATTATTAGAATGAGGAAGCAACCCTAAAGTAAGGTTTGGTTGAGGACATGGAGGATATAAGTTCACTTGACATGTTTGACGGCTTGATTCAAAACCTGTGGACTCAATAATGATGTTGGGTTGTAATCCTAAGCTCTCTGATATTCCTTTTAGCAAAGTCCTTGCCACATCTTTGATTCTCTTATTGTACTCAATTACTCAAATGCAATCTCCCATAAAAAATTAAAAAAAAGTAATTCAATGAAAATGCCATATTTGCAATCAAAATATAACTTTGACACTACTTGTTAAAGCTTTGAGAGATTTTCTTATGCTCTTCATATTGTTGAGCAAGAGGATTCATATAAGTGTGAGTTGACATTGCTATTTAACCAAAACTTTTATGATGTTAGATTCATGTATCTATTCATATAAATATGTTTTGTGTAGGACTTTAATTTAATTTAAAACAAATTGGATTTAAGCTAAGTCCTCTACAATTTAGATGTACATATGAATTTTTATGAAGTTTTCATTTTGTAATATTTTTCATGATTCTATTTTTTTTATAACATATAAAATATTTTTTCTGATCTTTAAAAAAGCAAACTTTATTAAAATTCATAGATCTTAATTTTAGAAGATTTAAATTCTTAAGATTTTTTTCCTAGTAAATTTATAAGTCACTTTTAACCATCTCACTGAAATTAAGGAGATGTCATTAAATTATTGGTGTTTTCTAAAAAGAAAGAAATTTCTCAATTTAACTTCATTAAATGAAAAATTTTTAAAAACACTTTTTTGTTCTAAGAGAATTTCAGTTAAGTACCTTTGTAGAAACTTAATTTCAGGTGGGTTAAATTTTTTTTAAAATTTCAATTTAATTCAAGGGAAAAAATTCAAAAGAATTTCGTCGGTAAAAAGATCAAAATACCCTCCACGTATTGTGCAGAATCACTAGTTGTTAATTTTCTTAATCCACTTATTAATTTACGAATATGAATTACAAATTAAATGAGTTGATATGTCAATAATTATATAATACTTAACATAAATTTTTTAATTATAAGCAGCAAAATTAGTTGTCAAATTATAAATTATACTTGTTAATTTACTAACATTAGTTGTAACTTACTGATAGGTTTTGTAATTTACAAACATCAATTATAATTTACTGACAAGTCTTGTAATTTTTTACAACTGATGTTAGTACATTAAAAAGTAAAGTTAGCAAAATTAATAATTAATGTTACTGATTGTCTGGTAAATGAATGCAATTTACAAGTGATATTGGTAAATTAACAACTGTAGTAAGAAAGTTAATAACTAGTGATTCTGCATAACAAATAAAGGATATCTTGGTCTTTTCATCGGTGAAGTTCTTTTGACTTTTCTCCCCTATACTGAACTGAAATTTAAAAAAAAAATTTAGACTCACCTAAAATTAAGTCTCTATAGAAGTACTTAATTGAAATTATCCCTTTTGTTTTTCATGCTACTTTTAGCTATCTTTTTAGGTGAAGCAACTTACAAAAAGGCAGAGATGCAAATTTAGCTATCACCAACTATTTTTATAAAAGCACTGGATACATATACTATAAGGTGATACAAAATAAATTATGAAATATTAAAAACAAAGCCTGGGCGGCTACTATTAGTTTTGAACAGATGGATGTTTGTTTGACCAAATTATTTGACTACCAAATCACATGTCTCCTCCTCATTTGATCCCTCTTTCTTCTTTACCTTTCTCTCCTTCCCCCTTCTCAATTGGTTATCCATTCTATAATCTTGAACAACTTGCGTATTTTCCTAGCAACAGTTCCAAATCAAGGCTAAAAGAGCACTCACAAAGTAAAATCCGATTATAAGAATTCCCAATGAAGGAAAAGATTGAGAGTCCAGTCGAGGAAGAAGTCAAAGATGCTGTCCACGCCTCCACAATTCTCTTCTAAACTCCAAAACTAATAAAATACGAGTCATCAACAACATCACTGCCATCCTCAACTTCGTTGCCTTCCTCATTTCCATCCCCATCATTGCAGCCATCAATTGGCTTGTTGAGAACTTGATAATGAGTGCATTCAAAACTTCTACTGGCTTTCTCATCCTCCTCATTTCCCTCGTTAGTTTCATTGACTCTTATTGGAACAAGCAGGGCCTCCATACCCTTTTCCTTTTCTCTATGGCTGTCCTCATCACCATCCTCCTCATTTTCCCCTTCGTTGCCACCTAGCCCGATGGAACCTATCACGCTCTTGGCAAGCTTATTGTAACTGATCTCTAGATTTTTCTATTTCCTCTGCTTCTTTGACAAATTCTAATCCGTTGTACCTATAGCATCCTACTCCCTTCCTTGCACAGAAATTGGGTCTCCTTATGAACCATATTCTTTAGGAAATGTGGTTCTTGGCTTTTGGGTTTCACTGCTTGAAACTACATCGCCGGAAGTCACTGATGGTAGACTAAGAAACGAGGAAGAGAGAGAAGAGTGTGAAGTGTGGGTCCTATAATTTTGAAAAGAAACGTCTGTTTGTTAAAAATTAATGGTCAGTTCTCCATACTCCATTTTTTATAGTTGTTAATTTATTCTGTACCACCTCTAGGCTATCGAATTTTCTTAAAAAAATAGTTAGTCACTAAATTTATATTTTTACCCAAAAAAAACTACAAATTGTTTTTAGAAGATAATTTATACATAAAACTAGAGGGAGTAAGAGAAACAGGGAAAAAACAAAGAGAAATGTTGAAATTGAAGGTATACTTGTAATTAGGGGGCTTGTGAGGGAAATGAAATTCAGGAAAAGTTGTGAGTTTGAGATAATCCCTCCAGTAATGAACCTTCTCTCCATAAGGAAGGGAGCTGGTTTCAAATTTGATGGGTGTGATCAATTCTTTGTTGGAGAATTCCATCTTCTCCAGCGGCAACTTGTGAAACTCCAGACTTCTTTATCACATCCTCCATTAGTTCCTCTGAAATCCTGTGTTTTGTAATCTGGAAGTGACATGATCAATTTAAGAACGTACATTTAGGAATCTTATTGCAATGAAAATCTTATGATCATCAAAACATAATTATTACCATGAAGAAGCCTCATTCTTTACAGGCACGACCAAGTTCTTGAACGGCGTGGGCATAGATTTGAGGATCTTGGGAGGTGAGGAGAGAGAAGTCAATGACGGGAATGGAAGAAGCAAGCTCGTCTACAGCATCATCATCATGACGACGATCAGTGAGAGAGTAGCATGTGGAGGGGATGGGATCATGGGAATGTGGCCGTTTAATTCAATGAAGTGTTTGATGCTCCAAACAGCAGAAGCTTGATGAAGCTTTTGAGGTTTTGATAAAGGAATAGTAATAGAAATAGGTGAAGAAGCCATGGATGAGAATTGGACTGTTTGAAGATAGTTAGATACTGCGAATAGAAATGAAGCAAGAAAAGCAATAAAAAAATAAAAAACAATAATTACAGATTGGAATAATACAGGATAATAATGGAGGAATGAGTGAGAAGAAGATGTGGAGACAAGTAACAGGTGGGGTAGTCGAGTTTTCATAACTGTGGGGAGAGAGTGTGGAGGCAAACATACTCTGTAATAATTGACAAGTGGGAATAGAGAGCAACGGTGAAAGCATGTGCTCTGGTTATTCTGGACATTAACAGGTAAACCATAACAACTGTTATGAGTCCTACCTAGATTAAAAAAAAAAGTTTATAAGTTTAATGCCTCTTTTAATCAACAGATTAGTTTCGGGTTAAATGATATTTTTGTCTTTTCAACTATTTATTCAAGAGCATTTGTCATTATAAACTTTCATGTAATATAATTTCACTCTCCCAACGTTTAAAAATGGTGTATTGAGCACATTAAGGTTAACTTAATCATTAGTTAATTTAAAAATTATAAAAAAACAATCTTAAAAATTACAGAAAATGACTCATAAAATTACACATAAAAACTATAAAAAAATTAATATTAATTAAGTTTCCTAAATTACATATTTATGACTTTGACCAACCATTATTTTAAGGACGTAATTGATATTCATTTTCCTATAAGGTACTTATTTTTAAGGTGAATAAAAAAAGTTGAAAAATACTCTTTACAAGTCAAGATGCAAATTTTATTTATTTAAAAAATTGTATCCTTTAAAACTCTTCAATCTAAATTTTATCATTTATGAAGTTACAGTTCTTAGACATTACTTTCCCCCCAAGAGAATAGTACTTGGAGAACTGGAGGAGGGAATATGTGCTTGTGCTTGTGGGACTTTAATATCATACGTTGATACTGATCATATATATATATATATATATATATATACACGGTTGGATTTTCAAAAATGTTGAAGTCATTTCTGAGGAAGAGAGAAATAAACTTACGTTTCGGCATTTGGACTTTGTTTTTCCGGATATTAAGTAGATTACATACGCTATAAGAAACGAAATCACAAAAGGTCTACAAAGTCAAAAAGGGTCCAAGCCCAAATAACAAAATTTCCACCAAAAAAAATCCCCAAGGCCCTAGGGAAAAAAAAAAAAGAAAGAAAACTACAAATACCTAAACATCAACCATGACTACCAACATGCGCTTGTTTAAATAGTTAAAAACTTAGATAATTTAATTTGAGATCTCATATTCAAATCTCAAGATATACAGTAGTGCATAATTGAACATGCATCATTAGTGGTACTTGTAAAACTCTTCAAAGAAGGCCCCACCTAAGTGAAAATTTGGATTAGTCTGGAGTGTACTGAGAAGGCAATGAACCCAAATGCTTCAAGATATTAGGTGTGAAAGCAAGAAAAAAAAAATCATGGCTCAATTTTCAAAGTTTTAGTAGAATCCGGTGAATATATTGCAATGAATAAATCCATTGACGGGGTAGTGTAAATTAAAAAAGAAAAAAAGAAACCAAAAGGAAGATATTACTCCACCATGAATCAAATCTTTTTCCTCTAAAAATGATGTTATTATAACTTATTATTGATAGGTGATCTATAGAGTATTTTAAATTATGAAGAAGTTAGTATAAAAAGTGGATTTGAATTTCCATATGATATGAAATTTTAGGTGTCCGAACAGTAAATTTAATCCAAATACAGTTCAAATTCAAATCTCACATGCAGCCAAAACGTCTCTTCCAAGCTTCCATCAATTTCCATAGTCCGTATTAGTGAATTGAAATGCTTCTTTAATTTCAACATCTTTTCTCCTTGGTATATTCTTTCTTCTTTCTATCTCTAATAATTGGATGCAAGTTCATGCACTGCACAAATCTAAGAAATATTGAGCCATATTGTTTTAAATAAATAATTAAGAGATATACAAAATAATAATGCAGGAGCGAGAGCAAAGTGGGGGTGGTCGAGTTTTGATAATTGTGGGGAGGGAATGTCGCAGACAACATGCTCAGTAATAATTGAGAAGTGAGAACAGAAAGCAATAGTGAAAGCACGTGCTCTGGTTATTTTGGACGTTATAGGGTAAAGCATGCTAGGGTTTGGCTTTTTGGTCCTCATTGTCATAGCATAAATCTGAGTCATTTGAAATTGATTTTAACGATTTAAATTTAAAATTTTAAATGTTTATTTTTTTACATAAAAATTACTTTTTATAGAGTAATAATTATAAAATTATTTTAATTTTAATTTTTTACCTATTAAAATAATACTTTATTTAAAATATAAAAATAAAAATATATATATATATATATATATTATATGGATGGCCTAGATTGACACCAAAACTGTACCCCCTTTAACTCTGGAGTCTGGCATATAATTATATCGTACTTCTGCTTTCTCCATATCAGCACGTGTTTATGTTTATGATACTTTTCCCTAATTTTGCCTTCAAGCAGCCCTTTCTGTTTTGGAGGTAAATATCTTATAAGTAGGTTCTGTACGTAGCGTGAAGTCTGGAAAATAAACTTATTATTTATGAATTCTACAAAATTTTTTTAGAGATGTATATTGAAGATATGATTGTTTAACGTAGGAAGTTTTATATAGATACATAATAAAGTGAAAAGAGCTATAACCTTCAAGAGTTGAGTCTCAAGATTTGTAGTTAAAAGATTATATTTTTTTCACTCACCTCTTTGTTCTCTTCCCATGATAATTAGAATCTTTGGTTTGTGCTGTGTGGCGATTAACAAAAGAAAAAGAAACTGGCCAATCACTGAGAAAGTAATGAAGTTTTTGATGTCGCTTGTGACATACTGTGAAATGGGCGATATCTAATAATCTCTGACAAAGTGATGCGGGCTTGTGCATATAAAATCTGTGCGAATCATGAACCTGACATTTCTGTTTGGTTGCATGGGTCTCTTTAATTGTGGCTTTGTCTGCCGAGTTTGGTGGACGAGACTCTTAATAATTGAGACACACGTGTCCTACATTTCAGTGCTGAAAATAATGGAAATGAAATAAATTAATAAATAAAAACAAAAATGAATTAAAATTATGATAAAATTATTATAAATATGAGAATCATTATATTTTTTATAAATTTTATAAATTATAATTTTTAATTTTATAAATTAATTAATTATCTTTCTCCTTTCATGAATATAATAGACTTATCTTTTTTTAACATTTTAATAATTTTATTTTTATTTTTATTTTTTTAAATATATTCTATTCTTCCCTCCCAATTTTGGTCCTTAATTGTGAATTGATACAGGATTCACGTATGTCAGGTCATTTTGACATTTACATGCATAGCCTTTTCTTTTGTTTTTTTTTTTTGGGGCATAATATTAGTTTTACTGTTGTGATACTGTTATTCCATCCATTAAAAATATAAAATATTTTTAATTAAATTTTACTCTATGATAAAATAGTTATTTACTTTTAAACTAATATTATTTTTTATGTTTAATTCTATTAAATACCCTACAATAAATATAAAGTCATTCATTAATAAGAGCACTTTTAAAAAAAGACAATGATTACACATTGAAAGACTAAAAATATCTTATATTTTTTAATATATAACTTTAAAAAATACCTTACATTTTTAAACGGATAAAATATAACATATTACTAGTTTGTTATCTTAGTAACAACTCCACTTTCTTTGTTTGGAAGAGGTTTTAGATTCAAATCCAACATTAACATACCTGTGTGTACGGTATGTGTATGTTTTTCCTTCTTATAAGGGGAAGGGCTAGATTAGGGATAAACTTTTTTAAAAAAAAATTATAACTTGCCTTATGAAATTAATACAATGTAACAAAAGAACAGTCTAATCAATAAAATACAATTAATAACAAACACAACTTAATATCAATCCATCATCTCGCCATCACACAAAATCCATAAGCATATAAGCTATACCAAGACATGAACTCAAGTCGTGGATTATAACAAATAAGATACATAGATTACATCATCAATTTATAATTAATTAGAGAATTAATTAATTATTAATACGAATGAGATCTAAGCCTGTCTTATCAGCAATCCTGACCCTGTGTTGAACTTTGAAGTAATCCTTGTACTTGATTGTCTTATAAAATGGTTGTTCCTTTTCAAGTAACTCAGGTGCAGGACCTGTTTCGTTCTCAAGTGATGGACCATTCCTAAGTGCAAAAGTAACTCTTGCATGTCTTTCATTCACAACTACTTTGTACCAAATACTCTTATACCTTCCATTAGTCACAATCTAATAATACCACCAAAACACAACAAAACAAGCAAGCTAGGGTTAGAAACTACAAGAGGGTGGTTAAGTTAAATAATTATGATAATACTTTCACCTCCCTTTTATTTTACCTTAATTATAAAATACATCTATTTTATTTCTGAAATTTATATGAACCACCCCTAGAATCAATAATTACAAACACATACCTCTTTTCTATTTTTGAAACTTTACTTTTATCCACTCTATTACTAGTTAATCATTAAGTTACATATATTGGATTAAAATTCTTTTCTTTAAACATAGATGTTATCTAAAATCATTCTCAAGTTATCCCAAAAAAAATCAATGGATATTTTTTAACCCTTTTTATTCATATTCTATTTTTTTTGTTACACAAACTTATTCATTTAGTATTTTTTTAAATGAAACATATAAGTTGGGAAAAATAATATTTCAAACATATATGCACAAAAAACTTAATA